AAAAAAATTACATAATTCCATTTAAAAAAGTGGAGGTGACCTTCATATCTTTTTAGCGCCTCCACCAAAAAAACAATTATTGACATCACATTATGTGCCCCTCGAAACCAAGCAACTTTTGTTTGACACTTTTTCTTCTATTGTCAAAAACAAGCGAGTTATTCAGGTGCCCTGTTTTAAATGCCTCTCCTTGTGTATATATATATATATATATATATATATATATATATATATAATATACATATATCGCAATAAGAACTTTTATTTAATTTTAATTCCGATTATAATTTCAGTTTTTAATACAATATAATATGAAGATACACAGATATAATCATTTTTAAGAAAATTATAGTTTAGAATATAATGTATTACATATATATTCGATGATCAAAGTATGCACAATTTTTTATATGCATTATACAAGTGCTGTATTATTCTTTGCATGTTACTTTGATCATGCTCGATTCTTGAAACAATCTCATCCTGTGTATTATGTTAAATAAGATTATATCTGCATATACATACAGGGCTTAAGAGTTTGGACTAGCTGGCTGAAAAGGACCATTCAGACTGCAGCTGATGTAAAGGCACCGCAAGAAAGATGGAAGGCTCTCAACGAAATTGACGCTGTAAGTTAAAGCATTATATAGATTAATTAACTAAGCAATTTCTTACCTTCGCCTCACTTTTTATGCCTCAACCTAGGGTATTTGCGAAGAAATGACTTACGAAGAAATCGCCTCAAAATATCCTACGGACTTTGCCGCGAGAGATCAAAACAAGTTCTCTTATCGTTATCCAAGGGGAGAAAGTTATGAAGATCTTGTTGCACGACTGGAACCTGTGATAATGGAACTGGAACGTCAGGGTAACGTTTTAGTTGTCAGTCATCAAGCGGTCATACGGTGTTTACTTGCTTACTTTCTAGACAAGAGTGCAGGTCAGTATCACGTAACACGTTTTAATTTACCATTTAATATTTTATAGATTATTGAAATTTTTGTTCTCTTGTGATTACTTGCACGCGCGAATCAAATGATAGAGTCACCGATGATACGTAACATGTCTGAGCACGTGATGATATCCAAGTATGGAGAGATTGGAATATAGAGATGTTAAACGCAACTTTTAACCTTCGACGTATTAAAATGTCTCGAGAAAATAAATGATAAACAATCATTCACGCAAAAGCGGATTATATAGTGACGTAATTATTCGTTTTATTGTTCAGTAGAATAATTTGTTCTTCCTACACAATTCCTCCTTCCACATTTGATTAATACGGCATGAAAAGCGTATATCTAAAATACTCATTTTTTTATTTCTATATTATAGTCAATTAATTCTAACTAATATAGTTAATTCAAGTTGTTTTCTTCCTATTTCAGATGAATTACCGTATTTAGAAGTACCTTTGCATACCATCATGAAATTAACACCAGTCGCCTATGGCTGCAAGGTGGAGCATATTCGACTACCGATAGAAGCCGTGGACACTCATCGACCGAAACCAAAGGTAGAAATTATCATAATAAAGTCGTAACAACTGTGTCTAAGTTCCCTTGAGTGCGCTTTACTTGCTGAAAGTAGAGATGGCGAAAGCAAGTAGCTTGCTGTTTGCTTGCCAATTTTCCGATACCAATACTTTTACCAATAAAATATGTAATTCCTATGCGCTGCTTATGTTTTAATGTTCCCAGAATGCCTGCCCCTGTTAGCTGTAATGGAAAAACGGACTATTTTCTTGTATTTAATCAAAACCTCATCCTAGAATCATCTGCATCCGTCAAAAAATCACTTTCATGAATTAAGAATTCGTCGCATGCATTTTTCCTAAGGATCTGGGACAAATATATTATTTGTGTGTTTTACTCTAAATTTTATATTTATATTATATAAAATTATGTTGTCACATAATTGTCGCATAACATTAGTCTTGTGTGAAATTGTAAAAAGGTAATTATTTGTAATCGTATTCTTGCTGGATAATTAATAATCTTTAGATTTATCTGTATCATTTTTTCAGAAAGTATAAGTATAAACATCGATATTGCGGAATCGTGATGGTACCAACCAAACGCTAATGTGTATTCCTATTAGATTTATTCACAGCGATATGATAAGTTTTTATTAAACTTGTATTTATCAATGTGTGTGTAATGATTCCATAATGTAGATAATTTAAACATATTATATTGATGATTTTTTTGATCGCTTAGAGGGAAGTAATGGATTCAATTATGATAGAATTAAATAGTATATATTCTTGTTAAAAGATACATATTGGTTAAAAAACTTGTGAAATTAATTATATTTGATTAAATTAATTATAAAAGATTATTAGAATGCAAATATAGACGAAAAAGATGAATGGATTGTATATCTTCTTACACTAGGCAAATTGTACTATACACGCGTAATATTATATATTCTTCCGTATAATAACGATAGCACCGTGATTGCAAAGTTATTCATGAAAGGTTCAAAAACCGAAGCTGTAGCATAGCATTTGATCTCAATTGGTGTTTTAATACACAATAAAATCTCTTTGTCGCAAACCTGCTGTAGAGCATATGTATCTTCGATAGAGAAACATATCCTGCTCAGCTGCGTCTACATGTAGATTGCTCTTTTCTTTCTGCAATGCACATAATTTCGGCAAACGCTAAAATGCCCGTTGTGGAACTTTCAATTTTCAGATCCCAGGATATCTGGAAGAGCGATTCCGAGGAAAGGGGAAGGTACTACGCACGTGATAACAACGAATTTCACGGCGCAGCTATTCCCCACCGTTGATATACCAAGACGTTGAAGCAGCATAAATTCGGCAGCTGACTTCTCATTCACGCGCGCGCGTGAATCAGCGCGCATCCGAGCCCTTTACTTCCTACATGTGTCAAAAGCGAGACGAGGCGCGATCGGCAATGTATCCTATGAAACCTAGATAGGGCACAGACGCGGAGGATCCTTCAACTCCGCGACGACGCAGGTCTGGCAGGTCATGTACGTGGCAATTCACCACTGATGATCACGCGGACGTATTGCGGGCGTGTAATTTTTATATTTTTCGATTGGCGTCTAAGTAGATAGTGAGAAGAACATATGTGATATATATAGGACGATCGTCGATGAGAAGGAAGAATCTGTGAGTCCTGAGTCTGTGTACATGCGTCTTCTACACGACGGATGATTTTCTTCTAGACAAGCGCGTGGACCCACACGTACGTTCTCTGATCCGCGCGTGCTTTGAAGTATTTGCTTCTTGCCGAAAAGGAAGGTATATTTATATCTTGATAAACAATAATATTTACACAATAGACGCACACACAGTGATTCCAAGAGAGAATTCTATACAATTCAATTCTTATTCGGCAGATACTTCAAAGTGCTCGCTCGCAAATTTAAAAGCAGATATATTTCTTTTTTACTTCCATATTTGAAACATTATCTCGGAATTGTCGTCGGATGCTTTTTAGAGCGACAGAAATGGATCCAAATATCGTAATATTGTGACGGTGATAATAATACTCGACTACGTAAAGGTATCGAGATATAATAGTACAATACTTTAGATTGTGCGATAATACTTCCAATCAAGCTAACGAATACGTTGCAATTCAATCCATTCTAACATATACGTTATTGCGATCTTGTATATTAAATAGCTGAATTACGAATTTTGATTATGGATATGTATCTCGATCAATGAGAAACATATAATAAATATGCAATTTTATGAATTTACTTACTGGTTTAGATATTCCTATTTAATAAATTGTATATTTAGAGGAAATGAATGAGTTTTCATCCAGTATGAATGATAAAATATTATTGCATTAAGATTAGTAGTAGGTATACAAGCATTTTCTTTAACATTTTCCTACAAAGTGCTCTCGAGAGAAATAAAAGGTAAGCGTTTTTATAATAATGATATACAAATCTCATAGGATATTTTCTGATTGAGAAATGAAAATATATAGAATAAAATTTAATTTAATTATCAAATTATTGCTTTTTTTTCAAAAATTTATTCTATTTTTTATATTTTTTAAATATACTTTGATAAAAATGATATATCTTTATTCTTACTTAAAAATACGTATGTATCATATTGTGATAATATGTCGTCATATTATATATATAATTTCTAAGGGTGAAGCCCACAGACTTCTATATATACTAGTAGTATATATAGAAGTCTGTGGGTGAAGCACACGGTACGGGAATCGGTATCGATCATGAAACTTTTTCCTTGGAATGAAAAGTGAAAAGTAAAAATTTTTATCATTGAAGTTAATGGAGAAATTTTTCACTTTTTATCCTAGGGAAAAAGTTTCATGATCGATACCCAGTATGCGGGACAGAGGATGCGTGATTCGAACAGCCAATCAGCGCTCTTCCATGGTCGAAGTAACAAGGTCTGCTATTGCGCAGCCTTTTATATCTAGCCAATAGCAAGCAATACTGAATTCCGCCATATTGCGCGCATATATGTGAACATATTTAAAAATGATTTTGTTTGCAGACACATACACATAAAAAATGGCGGAATTCAGTCCTGCGCAGAACCGGACGAATATTTGTCATGGATACGAGCAGTTAGGCCCGCTTTGGCCAAACTCTTATTATAGGATCTCTACTTCGACCATGCGCTCTTCCGCTTTTTCTGTACCTTTCCCCATAATAGTTCCGTTGAACCACTCGACCGGTGCGGACGCGTCTCGGTTCGGGTGCTCGTTTTTTGTATATTTTTGAGAAAGTGTTGCCGACTTTGACCGTGCCTCGAATTTCCTTACTGATGTGTGTCCGCGTCTGGCTCGGCTCGTTCGTCCGTCCGGACGCGCGTTAGAGTGGCGTGACGACGTTGCAATCGCAGGCGCCCTGTGTTCGTTCGGGCTTCGCCATTTTTCGCGGGCATTGCATCATTCTTCGTTTACATATTACGACTTTGTTTCGTTTACACATTACGACTTTTGTTACTGGCCTTGACGATTGCCGTTGGATCGGCTACACGGCCAATTATAATCAACAAGAAGAAGACCTTTCCCCATATATGTAATACTACTATATGGCTAGTGAGGCGTGGTTTATATGAGTGCGACAAGAAGAAACATAGAAGGATAATAGATGCCCGTTTATTGGTTGTCAGGGAGAGATGTTCAAATCGTTCAAGGGTGCGATCCACTAGACGCTTCAAACGCTTCGAAGTGCTTCAGATGCATGGTGGAAGTATTACTTCCACCATGTTCAGATGTGATCCACTAGACCCTTTGAAGCGTTTCTATAGCAGATACGACGTCATATATGACGTCATAGGTTTTCGCTTCCAGCGTGCTGCAAATGCTTCTGCCGAAGAGGTACGGCTGAAGCGATATTTTGAATGTACAAAAGCGCGGGAAATAATCAGAAATATCAATTAACTATAACCTGTGTTTCGTGATTTCGTTTGGTTTTAACGTTTTATATTGATCGAAATTAAAAGTAATGCCGATTATACAATTAATAGATGTTAATACCGGAGATATTCATACTTTAGAAGTTTCTGAAGAAGATGCAAGAAAGGTTAATGAAGGTAAGAATGTATAATATAACCACGTAATGCCACGTTCGTCTCCATATTAACATGAATTATGTCTTCCGCAG